TCAAGCTGTCACCCTAGGTAGAGTGTCCTGGCATCAAAGCTCACAGCAACTTCCAACTCCCGAGCTTAAGCGATTCTCTTGCCTTGGCCTCCCAAGTAGCTGGGACTACAGGTGCCTACCACAACGTCCGGCTATTTTTTGGTTGTTGTCATGTTTGGCAGGCCTGGGCCGGGTTCAAACCCACCAGTGCCAGTGTATGTGGCTGGTGCCCTAACTGCTGAGCTACAGGCGCTAAGCCTGAACCCCTACTTACTAAAGTGTTTTATAAGCAGAAAACCTTTGCTCATAATGCTCTTCAGCAGTGCACAGTGGGGGATATTGTGCTTCTCTAAGCTTTACCTGTTCTATGAATGAAGCTTGTGAAACATGAACTGGCTGAGATCATTTTCAAAGTTGGAAGAGTCATAGATCCAGTGATAGGAAAACGCTGTCCAGTCAGTTTGGAAACAACTCACCTAGCCAAAAATAACTTTAGGAACTCAGTACTTCTTTCTCACAGTGAGGGAAGGTTAGAAGAAGTCAAAGGGAAAAATTTCCATGTTTACTTTACAGGAAAAGAAATTTTTCCAAGTTTCATCACAAACCATCTAGTTTCTCTTGTACTATCTATGAAATAGCTAAAAGTAAATGAAGTAAAGGGCTTGTTATAATTTTTAATAAAAAATAATACATAGATAACATCACTTAAAAATGTATACATTTTTTTGGTACCCTCTGAATTTGCTAACAGCTGAACTAGCAAGTTAATTAACCCAAACTTTTAAGAGTAACTAAAGCAAGTATATGTAAGTAGGACACAAGAAAAGGAGTGAGATTTGAGTTATAAGAGGTAGGTTATCAAACATGCTCATGGGTCAGAATATAACATTTCCTGGGCAGCGACTGTGGCTCAAAGGAGTTAGGGTGCCAGCCCCATATGCCGGAGTTGGCAGGATCAAACCCAGCTCCGGCCAAAAACTGCAAACAAAAAAAGAATATAACATTTTCTGGATATTTTTAAATTAGACTTTTCAATACTGTGTTTTTGCTGTACAATTTGATCTGTTAATTACAAATATATATGAAGAATCTAGTTTGTACAAGGCTCAGAGGATACAAAGATACACAAATTGCCCTGTTAGCATTAGGGAAGAGCCCTTCATGCCCATACTCAAGAGCAAGGGAGAAGAGGGTAAGAACCACTGGGAACAAAGTGCTATGGCAGTGCTTCTCAACCCGTGGGTCGCGACCCACAGAAACTGTATTAAAGGGCCATGGCATTAGGAAGCTTGAGAACCACTGTGCTATGGGGACACAAATTAGGGATAGGTCAGGCCAGGTTGATTTGCAAAGCTTATGTATAGCATTTTACTGAGTTGGGAAAGAATCAGCCTGATCAGAGGAGGGTGGAGAAAGTCATACAATCTTAGGATGCCAGTTCAGTGCAAATTAAACTCTTGATATAACAATTATTATTTATTTAAACAATCTCCAAGAAAAAAAAAATCTCCAAAGAGGAGGTCTTTCACAAATAGAGATAGATGTACAAAAGATGAATTAACACTTCCAAAGCCATGTGGTTTGGTGGCTAATTCCTTGTTATGTAAACTTTTTTTACTGAATATATAGCTGGGTACTTCCCGTGAGCCAGGCACTATGGGAGATAGAAAAGAGCATAAAATATGGTCCCTGTTTTAGTAGCTTATTGAAGATTCAAGATGTCAAGTAAAGGCAAGTGTGTGCCATTGCTACCCTCTGCCCTGCTCTCTGGACAAGGCACCACCAGCACTCGCTCTTGCAACCGCAATCTTAGGCTGCCAGTCATTCCAACGAATTCCGAAGAACGTAGCCTTTTCCTGAAGAAACTCCTTTCTTCAATGCTTCAGGCCAGTTGTGAGTGTCAAAATAAGTGGACAGGATATCAAACACTGTTAGAGAGTGAACAGAAAATACAGTGACCATGCAGAGGGAAAAAAATAGTAAATAGCTAACAAGGGAAAGGATGTTCTAGAATATTCCATTCAATAACCCTATCCTGTACCACACATGGTACTGCAGGGAGAGAGGCAAAGACAGAGGCCTAGCCTGCTCTCGAGGACCTCAGCCCGTGCTGAGACATATAGGCCTCTGAATGGACAATGTACAACAGGGAGGAACGCAGTAAAACAGGTGGGGGCGCTGATGTGGCTCAGGGGTAGGGGTGGGGAGGCAGTGGTGAACGGATGCCCTCAAACTGAACCCTGAACAACAAATAGGAATTCATTGGTCAATGAATGAGTGAAGGTAGAGCATTCTAGGTCAAGGAGACAATTTCAACTATCTTTACCATGGGTTGGAGACCAGGAATAAAATGAATACTGTCTCTCAGTTGCCAGAATACATCTCACAAAGTAGATGTAATAAAGTCCAAACACATTCATCACACAGGAGTCTGATTTGAAGACCACTTAAACCCAATGCAAAGCAGCAGTACCAGAATTAATGCACGTTGGACAGTGGCTATGCAAGCAGTACCTTGATTGATGGCCAGTATCTTTGAATGATAGTTTTTCCCATTTTGACATCTGACCATGTATTCCTG